GCGCACGAGCATCCCGCTATCGCAGTCCCGTTAGCCTCGAGAGGCCTGCTGGTGCACCCCTGGAGGACCGCGCGCCGAGGGGCCCGATAGACGCAACACAGAGCCCTCAGGAGGGTGTCCGGGAAACTAACGTGGGCCGCCGCGGCCCGGATTTCGCGGTGAGAGATGTTTTCATAAAACTTCTTTAAATCTAAAAATGCAGATCCTGATTCTAAATTGCGCAGCCGCGCAAAGGAGGACAATGCATTGTGTAGCCATGCGCTTTTGTCGCATGACGTGGCTCGGCTTTGGCCCCAGAAGAGGCTGGATCCCAGAGATTTTTCCCACCGAGCGCACTCCCGGTGCCGAATTTTGGACCACACCCGGGCCCACAGCGGAAGGAGCCCAATCGGCCTGACGCCGCCTGTGGGTTTGTCCAGGAAAACAACCAGCACGAGCCACAAAGAAGTTACCTGAGGATCATTCTCCCAGGAATAGGAGGAGGAGGAGGATAGGTGACGAGCGAGGGAGGGAGGGGAGGAGGGAGGTTTCTACCCCTTTTGCGGGACCGATTGTGAGCGCATTTGCTTTCACCCTCACTCTTACCCGATTTTCTGGGGCCCGCCCAACGCAGCAAAGGCGTCCGAGGAAGCCCGCATCACCCACGTCTTTTCCAACCGTCCTTTTTCCACTGTTTCCTCTAACCCATCATCAATGACTATGGCCTCGTCGCGGTATGTCGCCGTCTCCCAAACACAGGAATGCTTATGACCCGTCCGGGACTTATGACCGCGGCCCCTCTCATGGTCATCATGTGCTTGCAGACATCATTCATTCACCGAGTGTTTGGGTGCGCGTGGGCGCAGGACCAAGATTGAGGCGAAGCGAAGCGAGCCCTCAAATCTTGTATAAATATATGTATGTATGTACATGTATATATATATATGTGTGTAAAATAGTTGTTTATAAGACGGGGGGGCCTGGAAAAAAGTCACCGTTCCCCCCTAACGAACTTGGCCCGCCCTGGGCCTCTCGGGCAACCCTCCAGACGACCCGGGAGAACCAGGCAGGCCTCCAAGAGCGCTCCCAAGAAGGCCCCGAGAGGCAAAATATGCGGTGCCTCTCAATAGTTCTGGGTCCCCGGACTCCAGGTGCCCCCGGACTACAAGTACCCTCTCCCCGAACTCCCTGGAAGACACATCTAAAAATCAGTGCTGGTTGCTCATTTCCTCAGCGGCAGCTGCATTCGGAAGGACCGCATGGTATCTAACATTCCTCCCTGAATCATGTGTTTTACAACGCTTTCGTATAAAAAATTAGAAACGGATCGATATATATATATGTATATATATATATATATACATATATGTTTCAAGCATAGATACGTTCAGATACGATTTCTTTCTGTTTTAGATACGGGAGGTGTGCTTTCTCCAAAAGTTTAAATACGGGGTCATTTTGAGATACGAATGGATCTGTTTAGATACGGTTCAATCTGGCGCCCATCGCTGGAATACATGTCTACCAAAAACAAATACGAATAGATGCGGCGCCATGTCTCCTGCGCACGCCCACGATCGATCATTCTCGCTCCTCGCTCCTCTTGGATCCTCCTCATCCGCCCTCCTCGGTGCTCATCTTCTCTTCTCTTCTTTCGCCACTCCCTGATTGAGGCTATTGTTCCGCTATTGTTCCCCACATCCTGAGTGGGGTCCTTGTTTGCCTAGAACACAATCTCCTGTTCCTTCTCCTCCTTCTCCTTCTCCAGCCTCCCTACTATACCATACCAATGCGTACCATACCAATACCACGCCTACCTACCATACCATACCTACCACACCAGACCTGCCATACCATACCCACCATACTAAACCAAACCTACTATACCAGACCATACTTACCATATCATGCCATACTATGCCATGCTATGCCATACCTACCAAACCTACTATACCATATATCTCCTCCTCCTCCTCCTCCTCGACTCCTTCTCCTCCTCGTCCTCCTCCTCCTGCTCCTCCTCCTCCTCCTCCTCTTTGCTCTCCCCATCCTACGGTTCCCTGTTCCTACCCAGTTCTCTCCCAAATTTCGTTTCGTCGTTGTTACCTATCCTGCTCCTCGTCGTTTTTGTCGTCGTCGCTCGTCTCCTCACTCCTCAACGCTACGGCATCCCACTATCCTCATCCCGTTGTTCATTGCTTCGACCAATATCATGGATCTCGTTCGTGCCGGGAGCACAGCCAACTGCATCCGTTCTGACAAAAATCAGATACGAATAGATACGGCGCGGCACTGCCATTGTTTGAACATAGATACGAATAGATATGCTTTCTTGAAGAAAAATAGATACGGTCCCAAATGCTTAGATCTGCTTGAAAAATAAATACGTTTAGATACGGCGGCGCTCCCGCGCAGGCCGGGGGCGCGCATCTAAAAATAGTGTATGTGTAGTGTCGTCGTTGTAGAACAATAGATACGATGGGCTTCTCGCCTGCGCCAGGGCGCGATCGCATCTAAACGCATCTGTTATTTTTAGATACGTCTTGCAGGGCTGCAGGTACCCCTCCCCCGGACTATAGTGACAGGTACCCCCCCCTGGACTACAAGTCCCCCCCTCGGACTACAGGTACCGTTCCCCCGGACTACAGGTACCCCACCCCGGACTACTGGTCACTCCCCCCACCTGGACTACAGATACCCCTCCCCCGGACTACAGTTACCCTCCCCGGACTACAGGTACCCCCAGAACTATTCAGGGACACAGAGTACCTTGATTTTCTGCTGTTTTTGGTGAATTCTGGGGTTTTCCTCTTTTTCGGCTTCCAGACGCTCCAAGACGGCGGTATTCTGGGCGTCCCAGGCCGCCTGGGAGACTTAAAAAATCGCCCCACAACCATCCGAAAGGGCTTCCAGGCAGTCCAAGAGAGCCCCAAGACGGCATAACAGGGTTCCAAGATGGCGTAAGAGAGCTCCATGACGGCCTAAGATGGCCGCAAGATGCCCTCCGAAGCATGCTAAATCGTGACCCGGTCGTTCAGGGAGACCGCGGTTGGAGGAATGGTGGCCCGAGGAAGCCCCCAGAGGCCCCCAGGAGACGCCCAGGAGGCCTCCAGAAGGCCTTCAGAAAGCCTGATGTTCCTCTGAGGCCCCTCTCCAAGGTGGAGCCTCCGCAAAAAGAGCTGAGGAGGATGGAGAGAGTACGCAGGGTATGGCAAGAATGAAGAAACATAATCATGGACAAATCACAAGATGATGGCGATGCCGGAAAAAAGGCATCAAATATTGATCGCTAAATTGTCGGCTTGACCCTCCCACCATTCCGCCTACATGCCAAACTTGAAGGACTAAGGTGCATGGCGCGAAGCGCAGATGCAGTCTATATATATGTGTATATATAGATATGCATGCATGAATGAATGCATTTATAGGTGTGTATATATATGTCTATATATACAAGTCTGTATTTATTGGGGGCTCCGCAAGGGCACCTCCCGCTGCCCTCCGACTTCCCAAGGTGGAATTGCACACCTGCGGCTGGAAGAAAGGGGGGAGCACGGCCTCGGTGGGGGGGGCGCCCACCCGCGCCTGCGCCAATCCGCTGGATGTGGACTTCCCCCTTCGCCCCAGCGATTACCACACACGGCGGGCTTGCGCTGGATGGAGGCTGTGTCTGCCTTTGTGCTGCGACGCTCTGCACGTGCCGCGGCTAGCTGCTGCTCGAGGCTCGAGGGACCTGTTGTTGGCCTCTTCGTTCTTGAGACGTTTGGCCTTCTCTGGCCTCTAGCTCCCCCTGGACGTTGTCGAACTGCCTGGTCAAGCTGTCTATGCGCACCCCGTCGAGGGCCTTTCGGCGCTCCGTCAGCGATGTCCAAGTCAGACCACAGGCGCTGAACCCTCCAGCGCCAGACGGTGTGCTCGTGGGTCGCGTCTTCCGGGTCGCACCACTGGCAGAGCGGTGATCCGTCGGACGAGACCTGGGCTCGTGCCTCACGCTGCTGCGTGTGATCACCGCCGCGCAGGTAGCTGAAGAGGAGGCCGCTGAGCCGCTGCGAGAAGCGGCCTTTACCTAGCCGCGTAGTGGCACAAATACCAAGCCCCTGTTGGACTCGCATCGGGGACCCCGGGTCGCGGCGACGCTGACGCGAGGGACGCCACAGACCCCGAGAGGAGTGGCCGCATGCGGCACGAAAGACGGCAGGAGAGAGAGAGAGAGAGAGAGACAGAGAGAGAGTTAGAGAGCAGAGAGAGAGAGAGAGAGAGACAGGAGAGAGAAAGGCAGGAGAGCAGAGAGAGGACAGAGTTAGAGAGCAGAGAGAGAGAGTGTCAGAGAGAGAGAGAGAGAGACAGGAGAGAGAGAGAGAGAGAGACGGAGAGAGAGAGTTGGAGAACAGCTGCGCGGGGAGGAGAGAAGGCAGGGCCCCTCCCCGAGGGAGAGCGACGACGACGAGGAAAGAGACAAGGGGGATGGAGTACGATCCCGGACTAGTCAGAAGCTCAGTGGGCCCTGGATACGACAGGGCCGTTTTTTTACCGGTTCCGTTTTGCCGTTTTTGTTGCCGGTTCCGGCTCGGTTTTTTTACCGGCTCCGTTCCGTCGCCGTTCTTGTACGGGTTCCGGCTCCGGCTCCAACCCTGGAGCCGTTTTTGTTGCCGTTTCCGGTCGCCGTTTTTGTGCCGTTACCATTTTCAAGGGACACTTTTTCGGAAACAATGAAAAAAAAGGCCCTGCCGTTTCCGGGGCCCACTAAGGGCTGGAGTACGATTCTGGACTATTCAGAAGCGGCCAGCCAGATCTCCATGAGGACGACGGCGCCTCAAAGTTGGCCCGCGGGTCGGCGGCGAGGGCCTCTGCCACCCCTGCCCGACGGGGAATCCCTGGGGAACAGGGAACAAAAGAAACGGAGAGCCCAGCGAGAGTGGAGCAGGCGAGGTAGGAGGGGAGGGAGCACGCGAAGGGAGCGGGACCATCTCGAAAAGGGCGGTCTGGCTCACGCACAGGGCTTCGGCCATTCGCCCGCGCTCCTTCGACTTCGCATCGCACTCGGTGTTGGTGTCGAGGAGGATCTTCTCGTCGTCGGCCTTTGTCTTCGTCGTCACCTCGTGGGCGGGGCTTCCTGCTCTTCCTCCTGCTCGTTTTCCTCCTCCTCCTCCTCTTCTTTTTTTTCTTCATCCTCATTCCTCCATCATATCACTCATCAGCCTCCCTGCATCCCTTGCTATTTTCCCTCACGTGTTTCTCCTCGGAATCTGCCCTCGTTATCTGCCCTCTGCCTCCGGCTGATGTTCCACCTCATCCTGCCTCCTCCTCCCTCGACCTCCACCCTCCGGACACTCTGACACACCTTGCTCTGCGGCAAGTGGGGTACCACGTTGGACGGCCGATTCTCATCTGCCGCGGGGGTTGAAGTGCTTCAACGACCCGCCAGGTCCCCTGACTGGCTGAGCGCCCTTGCCCTGATCGGCGGCGGCAGGGAGCGCATCCGCGGCATGAAGCATTGATTTTCTCCCGAAAAGGCTTAACACTCAAAACCCTCTGGCGGGTTTCCCGCCTGGCTGAGCGCCCTTGCCCTGGCCCCCGGGCGGCGAGAAGCGCATGCGCCGTGGGCAACTCGGTGGCCCATGGTTTATCGGGGATACCACTGGCGTTGGCCCAGGTGTTGGGTCCCCAGGTGTGTGGACGCGAGAGGTCGCGCCAGGCACGGTGTTGGAAGAGTTCCCCACACAGAACTATGCTGTTTCTTAGCCGCAGTAATCTGCTATAGTCATCCCTCCCTCCCTCCCTCCGTGTGTGGCGCATCCACTGCGCAGTACCTGAATGGTTGGGGCCCTCGCTGGCTAACATTTGTAGTTGTAGATTTGTGCCAATGTGCATACGCACAAGACTGCATTGGCGCTGCGCGCCATTTACCTCGGTCCTTCAATCTCGGCCTGCGGGCGGTATGGGAGATAGGTGCACAAAGCTAGGCAACAAATAATCAGTGTTGCCGCTCTCGCCGTCGTGATTATCATACGCATCCCTTCCAACTTCCTCAGATTCCCTCATCCTCTTTCTCGTTCCCGCCTTCCCCTGCGAACCGTTTCCTGTTCTTGTCAATTTGTTTTGATGAAACTCCTCCGTGGATGCCGTCCCATGCCCCCTCTTCATCAGTTCATACAAGTATTCCATTTCACACCTGGACGCGCGCCCTTGAAACGCGAACGCCACGTTGGCCTTACAGGCGCCCCATGGGCCTGACATTGCTGAAAAGTGCGCGCGCGCAGAAATGTAATTCCGCAGATTCTTGACCGATGAAACCATTGCGATTTCATATCTGCTGAGTAATTGAATTTTCTGAAAACGACAGCCCCATTTTGAAAACCAGCCGCCCTCCATCCGTGTAAGAGCTGCAACCTTTTCGCACGAATGTCCGCGGCGCCAGGACGAACGCCCCATTGTGAAAACCGCATGCCCTCCATCCGTGCAACTGTGGCAAACTTTGACAACGAATGTCCGCGGCGCCAAAGCGACAACCCCATTTCGAAAACGAACCGCTCTCCATCCGTGCAAGTATTACAAACTGTTAAGACGAATGTCCGAGGCGCCAGGGCGAGAGACCCATTTTGAAAACGAACCGCCCTCCATGCGTGTAACTGCTGCATCCTGTTGAGCCGCCGTCGTCGTCGTCGTCGTCGTCGTCGTCGTCGTGGTCGTCGTCGTGGTCGTCGTCGTCATCGTCGTCGCCGTCGCCGTCGCCCTCGAAATCGTCGACGTCGTCGTTGTCGCAGTCGTGGTCGTGGTCGTCCTCCCCCCTTTGACGCCGCCGCTGCTGGCGCGGGCCCGAATGCCCTCCTGCGACGGGCCTGGTCGACGCCAGCACCGCGAGAGGCAGGAGGAGGGGGAGAAGGAGGAAGAGGACGAGAAGGAGTGGAAGAAAGGAAAGAGGGGGAAGAGCAACAAAAACGAACACGAGAACAAAACGGGCCAGGGGCCGAAGGCCCTGCTGCGATGGGCCTGGGCGGCACCGTTTCAGAAACCCTCGCATTTCGGAGTCCCGAGGTGCAGCGCGCGAAGTGGCCCGGCCCGTTTCTCTTCACTCATCATTGCAATTCTTGACGCGTCGCGTATCCCCACCAGCCAGCCCATCCAGAAACGATGCCCAAGCGACTTCAAGTGTTGTTGTGAGACGTTCCCGGGCATCTCTTGGAGCGACATTGGGTCTCTCTGCCGGTCCTCTTGGGGCAATATTGGGGCCTTCTTAGAACTCTCTTGGAGCCTCCTTGGGACCCTCGGAGGGTTCTTTACGAGACTCTGGGAGGCCTACCGAGGCAACATGAGAAGCCAATGCTGAAAAAAACGGGCGACGACATTTCAGATCCCCCCCCGTCTACCCTTTTCGTTGGCCCTTCCAGATGCAGGGGCTAAGATTAGAAGGCGAAGCGCAGCGAGCCTTGTAATCGTGTAGATGTAAATGTATACATGTATATACTAGAACCACGCGCGCGCGCTTCGCGCGCGCTTAGGTTCTAGTCGTGGCCACGGAATTCGCAGTGCAAGGACTTGACGACGAGCGCAATGGCGAGCGTGAAAACCTGACCTGACCCAACCAGACCTGTCCACAAAGCCTGTCTGGGAGAACCACGTGGAAAACTGCTACGGAACTGCGATAACGGGCGTCGTCGTCGTCGTCGTCGTCGTTGTGGTCGTCGCCGTCGTCGTTCTTCGTCTTCGTCGTCGATCGACAATCGTCGTCGCCGCCGTCGTCGTCTTTCGACCGTGTCGTCGGCGTCGTCCCTCGTCCTCGCCGTCGTCCTTCGCTGTCGGTGTTCCCCTGCGAGGCGCGTCCTGGAGGGCCCCTCGCGGCCTCTCGGGGTCTCTTGGGAGCTCCTGAAGGCGTTTTGGCGCGGAAGAAGCGGACTGTCCGTTTGGCCTGCCCCTTTTTGAGCCGTCTTGGGCGTCTCCTCGGCCTTCTTGGGCGCCTTCAGGGCCGCCTTGAAGCCCTCTTGGGCCGCATGTGGCGTCTCTTGCGGGTTCTCGTGGGCCGTTTGGCGGCTGTCTCGGGGGCATCTTCGGCCGTCTCGGAAGGAGACAAATCGTACATGTTGGAACTGCACGTTTTCCCATCGGAATTCGACGATGCTCCTCTTCCGTAGCCCTCCCTTAGCGGCCGTCTAGCGTGCGAGGCGCGTCTTGGGGAGCTCTTTGGGGCCTCTCGGGACCCTCTTGGGAGCCTAGTGGGAGTTCTATCCTGGGGCGGAAGGTTCGAATTGTTCGTTTGGCCTACCCCTCTTGGAGCCGTCTTGGGGCTCTCCTGCATCGTTTTGGACGCCTCCTGGTCCGTCTTGGAGACCTCTTGGTCCACCCGTCGGCTCTTTGTCAGATCTTTTGACCCGTGTGGAAGCAGTCTTGCAGGCCTCTTGGGCCGTCTTGGAGCGTCGGAAAAAAAATTCATGTCCTGAAAATGTGCGTTTTTCCATTAGAATCTAACGACTCTCCCCTCCTCGAACCCTGCCCAAGCAGCCGTCTAGCGTGCGAGGCGCGGCTTGGGAGACTTTTGGGGGACCTCTGGGGCGTTTTTCGGAGACCTCTGGGGCCGTCTTGGACGCTGGGAAGGCGAATCCGGCGAATATGCGAAAAAAGTACTTCTTAAAAACATGTGGCGATTTTTGGTCCTTGGGGCTCCCTTAAGGGGGCGTTCTGGAGGCCTCTTGGGGCGCCTTGACGCTTCTTGGACTGTCTTGGGGTCTCTTGGGGGTCTCCGGAAACCTCTCAGGGGCCTCTTGGGGGCTTCCTTGGGCTTCCTGGGGGCCTCTCCAGCGCAAGGGCGGCAAAATCCATTCGGAGCCTTCGTCCGAGACCCCCGCTGGGAGCGGTCTTGGTGGCCTCTGGGGGGGTTGGGCGCTTCTTCGGACGTCTTGGTTTGAACGCTCCAGGGCGTTCCCTACGCCTCGAGGGCCCTCGTCGGCGCCCGCAGGGGACGCCCGCAGGCCGCAAAGACGGCACAAGAGCGAACCAAAGTGCCCAAGATAGCCCAAAGATGGCCCAAGAGGTCCCCGAGAGGCGCCAAGATCGCTCTGAGAGGACCTCCAAGAAGGCCTTAAGAGGCCAAAATCAATGATATTCCGTGTTTTCCATGTTCTACAAGTTTTTGCATTTTCGGGCTTTCGACACTCCAAGACAGCCAAAGAAGCCTCCAAACTTGCCCAAGAGAGCCCAAGAGGGCCCCAAGAGGCCCCAAAGAAGCCCCCAAGACGGCCCAAGAGGGTCCCAAGCGGCACAGGAGGCGCCGAACACGGCACAAGAGGGCCTCAGGACGGCCCCAAGAGGGGCCCAAGAGGGGAAACACGAACCAACAATTCGAGCCTTCCGCCAAAACAAGCCCCCCAGGAGGATCCAAGAGGCCCAAGAGAGGCCTTCAAGAGGCCCAAAAAAGGCCCAAGAGACTCCAAACCGGACCCCCGGAGGCTTCAAAACTGCCCAAGAGGCCCCCGGGGGGCCTTGCACGATATCCCAACGACCTTCCAAGAGGCAACCTCTTCCTCCCACTCCTAGTCCTCCCCCTGATCATCCCTCCCCTTCCTCCTCCAACCTCTTCCTCCTCCTCCCCCTCCTCCTCCTCCTCCTCCTCCTCCTCCTCCTCCTCCTCCTCCTCCTCCTCCTACTCCCCTCCTGCTCCTCCTCCTCCCCTCCTCCTCCTCCTCCTCCTCCTCCTCCTCCTCCTCCTCCTCCTCCTCTCCCTCCTCATAATCATCAATCGCCCCTTCCACCACCTCCGCATCCTCCTCTCCGTCCTTATCGTATCCCTTCTCCAGCCCCTCCTCCTCCTCCTCCGCCTCCTCCTCATCCTCGTCCTCCTCGTCGTCGTCATCATCATTATCATCATTATCATCAGCCGCATCCTCATCATCATACTCCCTTTCACTCTCCTCCTACTCCTCGTCCTTCTACTCATCTCCCTCCTCACAGGATCGTCCTCATCACCACCATCACCACCACCACAATCATCATCATCAACAACAGCATCAGCATCAGCATCAGCATCAGCATCAGCATCACCATCATCCTCATCATAGCCACCACCAACACCAACCATCATCATCGTCATCATCATCACCAGCAGCAGCATCAGCAACCGCAGCAGCATCATCACTATCACCAGCAGCATCAACAACGACAACAACTACAACAGCAGCAGCCGCATCAACCGCATCAGCATCGTCAGCATCTCCGCCGTCATCATCGTCATCCGCATCATCACCAGCATCAGCAGCAGCAGCAGCAGCATCATGATCATCATCATCATAATCATCATCATCATCATCATCATCATCATCATCATCATCATCATCATCATCATCGTCAGCAACCTCCTCCTCCTCCTGATCATCATCATACCCAGCAGCATTCTCAACATAATCGTCATCGCCACCACCATCATCACCACCACCACCCGAACCACCACCGCCATCAACACCACCACCATCATCATCATCATCGTCGTCGTCGTAGTCATCATAATCATCATCAGCATCAACATTACCATCACCAGCATCAGCATTAGCATTATCAGCTTCATCACCATCATCATTATTAAATTCGTAATCGCCATCATCATCAGCATCATCAGCATCGCCAGCATCGTCATCGTCATCAGCATCATCATCATTACCACCGCCATACGCAACAACAACATCATCAGCAGCATCATCATGAGAACCACCATAATCACAACCACCGTCATCACCAGTACCACCACCGCCAACACCACCATCATCACCATCATCATCATCATCGTCATCCGATGAGCATCAACATTACCATCATCATCGTCATCATCAGCATCAACAACATCAGCGTCATCAACACCATCACTATCATCACTAGGCTCATTGCCATAATCATATTCAGCATCACCATCAGCATAGTCGCCATCATCATCTTCATCACCACCGCCATCACCATCACCATCACCATCACCCCATCACCATCATCACCACCATCACCATCATCATCATCAACATCATCAACAACAACATCAACAACAACATCAACATCATCATCCGGGCGATCGAAGTAGCGAGCACCAAACCATCCCGCTGCCACCACAGAAGCGCAGTGTAGGGAGTTGGGGCCAGGAGGGGGACCGCAGGCAGGAGCGAAGACGCTCGGGCAGGGAGGGTTCGACGAGAAGAAGCGCACTCCGCTCGAACGGGGGGTGGGGGGGGACGAGCGACGGAGGCAGGGACGGGGGCAGGGGCGAGGGGAGGGGGAGGGCAGAGAGTGGGGGAGCGGAAGGCGAGGGGGAGCTGAGGCGGAGGGTGTGGCGGAGGGGAGGGGGATGGGGGAGGACGAGAGAGGATGCCAGCTGCGGACATCGGCAAGGGGAGGAAGAGAGGAAGATGGGACTGGGAGGGGACAGGGAGAAGGAGAGGCAGAGAGCGGGGAGAGGAGGAGGAGGAGGAGGAGGAGGAGGAGGAGGAGGAGGAGGAGGAGGGAGAGGTTTTGACTTATGTCGGCGCAGCGCATCAAGGGGAGGAGGGGAAGGGCGGAGGGAGGAGATGAAGAAGGGAGCGAGTGAGTGAGTCTGGCAGAATGAGCGAAAGAGGGAGAGGCGAGGAGGAGGAAGAGGACGAGGAGTGCAGAGAGGGATGAGGTCGGAAGAGAGCGAGAACGAGCAGCCCAGTAGCCCGGTGTAAAAAGACCCCCAGAGGTGGAAACGTTAGAGGAGAACTTCGGCGTCATGCCGCTCACAAGACCCGAGGAGGCCTCGGACGGAGGAGAGACGAGGACGATGGCAGAAATCTCACACATCCATTCACAAACATTGATCTGGGCCCCGGGCCCGCCTCCAGGTCGCCCTTGGCCTTGGCGGCGTCCTCGAGCCTCCCGGCCCTGCTGGCGGTCTTCGCCTTGGAGCTTCCGGTGTCGTACTCGATGTTGTCCTGGCGGGGAGTCGGATGAGGAGGGGGAGGAGGAGGAGGAGGAGAAGGAGAAGGAGGAGGAGGAGAAGGAGGAGGAGGAGGAGCAGCAGCGGGGGTACAGGAGGCGAGGAATGGAGGGAGGAGAAGAAGAGGAGAGGAGGAGGAGGAGCTGGGGGGGAGGAGAGGGATGAATGGAGAAGCGGGGCTGGAGGAGGAGGAAAGAGACAGAGGGAGGGTAGAAGGGGAGCGAGAGGGAGAGACAGAGGGAGAGAGCAAACGTTAGAGATGGATATGCACATGCAAATACGTACATGTGTACAATGTGTGTTTTGAGATGTGTAGGTATGTATGTGTAAGTGTATGTGTATGTGTATGCGTATGCATGTGCGTATGTGTATGTGTATGTATATGTGGATGCGGATGATGTTGCATGTGCATGTATGGTTGCATCGATGTATGTATGAAATATGTATTTATATCTGCCTGCCTGTCTGTATGTCTGTATGTATGTATGCATATATATATTCCTGTCTGTCTGTCTGTCTGGCTGTATGTATATGTGGTATATGTGAACTAATGCATGTCTGTACGTATAAATGGTTGTACGGCTGTGTGTATGTATGCATGCATGCATGTATGCATGTATGCATGTATGTGTGTGCGTAATGGTATGTGCATGTGTGCATGTATGCATAAGTACGCACGTATGAAGGCATGCGTGCATGCATGAATGTATGCATGCATGTATGCATGTATGTATGTATATATATGTATGTATGTATGTGCGTGTGTGCGTGCATGTATGGGTGTATGTATGCATGCATGCATGCATGTGTGTATGTATACACGAGTATGTAGTTACGGATGTATGTATGTATGCATGTATGCGTGCATATATGCATGTATGTACGTATGTATGTATGCCTGCCTGCATGCATGCATGCATGTATGCAAATATGAATCTATGCACATCTGCATGTATGCATACGCGCACACATGCATATATGCATGTGCATAATTGTGCATGCACATTTTTATTCATGTATGCATGCATATACGCATGCATGTATATCTATGTACGTGCGCATGTGTGTATGTAAATGTACGGGTGTATACACATATACATGTTTGCATGTAAACATGTATCCACAAATGTGTCGGTATCCGCCACAGTGCCTCTGGCACGAAGTGAAGTGCCCCAAGGCTCATGCAGCCCTGAGGGTTAGAAGGTTTGCAAATTTCTGAAGGGCCTGGACTCCCAGTCTCCCAGGCACTCTTTGGCGGTACCAGGCGCTGCCAGGGTTTCTCGCGTGGGCCTCCAAAACTGTCCCCTCGCTCAGGAGGGCCCCAAAACAGGCCAAGAAAGCCCTGGGAGGCCGCCCAGACGGTCCAGGAGGGCCCAGAATCGCCGGAAGGTTGCTCCAAGACGCTCACAATTTTCTCCAGACGGCCCCAGAGCCCTCGAGGACGCCTCAAGAGGCCTCCAAAAGCACTCCCCAAAAAGCGCCAAGCGGCAAAATTCACGAATGTTCCTCGAATTGTTGCATGATTTGGGCGTTCTCGCTTTTCCGGCTTCCCGATGCTCCAAGACGGTCCAAAAAGGCACCCCAATATCACATCAAGACAACCGAAAAGTACTCCAAGAGGGCCCCAGAATGGCCCAAGAAGGCCCCAAGACGGCCCAAAAGGCCTCTGAGGCGGCCCACGAGGTGCCCACGACGGCTCCAAAAGGGTGCCCAAACCCGGGACCTGAACGGACATTTCGAGCCCTCGGCCTCGAGAGGCTTCCAGGAGGCCCCAAGAGGCCCCCAAGAAGCCACTACGAGGCCCCGAGAAGCACCGGAAGAGGCCCCCAGGAAGCCCCAAGACGCCCCAAAGACGCTCCCAGGAGGCCCCTAAGAGGCCCCCAAACGGCCAGGCCCCCGACAGCGCACCGAAGAGACCCCAAGACGCATCCCTGTGGACTCTGACCCACAACCCAAGCACGGTGGCGGGATGGGCCGAAGGCCATTCGACCTGGGCCGGCCCGGGAACGGAAAGAGCGCTAAGGGAACTTGCCCTAGATGGCACATGGCACCCTTCGCTCTTGGGAGCCTTGGCGTTAAGAGCTTGTTGAGTCACGGCTCTCTGTTGGGAGCCCTGGTGTTCACAGACTTTCACGTTGCCGCTCGCTCTTGTGTGTTTTGCTGTTGAGAGCTTTTCACGTAACCGCGCTCTGGGGAGCCTCGGTGTTCAGAGCATGTTACGTCACCGCTCGCTGTTGGGAGCCATGGTGTTACTTGGCGTCTTTGGGGCTCCTTGGGAGGCTTTCGGGGTCCCGTTTGGAACGTGTTGGGACTCTTGGGTCGTCTTGGAGCCAGCCCAGTCCCCGCACCCAAGCAGCCCAGTCCCCACACCGCCTCTTCGGGCTCTCTTCCTGCGCACCCCTTTTTAGTGTCGAGAAATGGCCACGCCTGCTATGCCCTCGACGAGACGCGCGTGTGGCGGGACCACCCACCGCGCCCCCCTATGGTGTCGAGAAGGTACCACGCCTGCTAAGCCCTGCACGAGAGGCTCGCACAGCGGGACCTCCCCTCTGCGCGCCCCCTATGGTGTCGAGAATGTACCACGCCTGGACGAGGGGGCGTGGCTAGCGGGACCACTCTTTGGGCACCCCGCATGGTGTCCAGATCGTGCCACGCCTGCTATGCCCTGGACGAGAGGCGCCTATGGTGGGACCACCCCCTGCGCACCCCCTCTATGGTGTCGAGAAAATGCCGCGCCTGCAATGCCCTGGGCGAGAGGCGCGCACAACGGAACCACCCCCGCGCACACCCGATGGTGTCGAGAAGAGGCCACGCCTGCTGTGCCCTGGACGGGAGGCGCGGATAGCGGGACCATTTCCCTGCGCACGCCCTTATAATGTCGAGAAAGGGCCACACCTCTATGTCTTGGACGCGAGGCGCGCGTAGCGGGAACAGCCCCCGCGCACCCCTATGCTGTCGAGAAAGTACCTGGAGAGGAGGGCGATGCGTGGGAGACGCGGGTGCGACGCGGGATGGAAGAAAACCAAAAACCCAAGAAACATGTGGGAACAACCACATGTGTTTTGACACATCGTTTTGTGGATGCGTATTGGGAGGCCTCTTGGTGCCCTCTTGGGCCTTGTTCGCGGCCACGTTCGAGGCTATGTTGTGCAGTCGTGGAGGCCGCACAGGGTCATCGCGTCCGACTTGGAGGCAATAGTGGCCGTCCTGGAGTCCATCAGTGGCCGCCTTGGCGTTCTAGGGCCCCCCGTGCGAACCTTCGTGGGGGCGAGAAAATGGGATGGGGGGGCGGGCGAGCGGCCAGGACGGGGTAGGTGCCGTGGACCCCCTTCCCCCAGCATTGTTAGCGGGATCATTTTCTGTTTGGCGCGCCAAAAACAAGATGACTTGGCGCGAAAGAACAGAAGCGTATTGGACTGGATGCGTCGGGGGGGCCTAACTGCTGCTTCGCAAGAAGCGACTGTAGCGAAAAAGGGAAAGGCCCGACGCACACCCACCGCTGCGCGCGGTGGCGGATAAGAGAAAAAGGGGAGAGAGAGGGCGAGAAGCAGGCAGAGGGAGAAGAGAACGAACGCGATCGAGAGGGAGAGACAGAGCGAAACAGAGGGGCAACCAAAAGAAAGAGAGACCGAGTAGAGGCAGCAAGAGAGACAGAGGAAGAGGCTGATACCGAGACGCAGAGACAGAGAGAAAGAAAGAGAGAAAAGAGAAAAGGCAGGCACGATCCTGGAGCCCCTGCGCCAGCGCCTGGAAGTTCGACTTGGCGTTCATTTCCGCCTGGAACGCGTTTCTT